ATAAAATATTTTTATAGTTCTTACTCAAGTAAGATTTGTTTGCTCTATCAGAAGGGCAGAGCTGCACTCATAAGACCTACACGTCATTGCACCTGAAGTTATTTGTCTCTGTTATTTTGGTCATTAAGACAACTCATTAAACAGCATACTAAATTATTCTGCCAAAGAATTCCCAGATATTTAGTGCATGTATTCCTGTATGACCTCCTGTTGGATTCCTTTCTTGAAAACAAATCATGTCCCAACGAAAAATGTGCGCCTCTTCTTTAAAGTAACAACACTACAATGAAGGGGGGGGGGGGAAGTAGTTAAAAAAATTGCAATACTTATTTTTTAATTATGTATTTTGGAGGCAAGTATTGGGTTTTGGTGTGGGGTTTTTTTTTGTTGTTTTTTGGTTGGTTGATTGGTTGGTTTGGTTTGAGAGGTTTTTGTTTTGTTTTTGGGGGGGAGTGACTCTGATTTGTGCTTGCCTCTAAATGCATGCAAAATAGCATGGGGGTCATACTTCATTGTGGCTTTTCTTGTACGAGTTTGCTTGAATTAATGTTCTGCTCTTCACTTTGTCTGGAGAATGACCAACGCAACCTGTGGAGGAGACGTTTGGTAAGCGGAGCAGAGAGACTATATTAGCTCTACCTTTGCAGTCTAAAAATATCTCTGTTTTAGGATGGTTGGACAGAATTTGACCCTTGGGATTTATAGCCTAGGCAGGTTAAGTGAGAGCTGTGCACATTAAATTCAGACTTTGAGGTAGGCCATCGCATCTTTCCTAAAATGATGTTACCCTACGGTCAGATTTTGTTTGTTTTTAATACTCTGTAAATTTACTACAGGGGCTTTGATGCATGTTTTTCAGCTTGAAAGCAAAACTGTCTTCCTTCATCCACCACTTTACAATTTTAATGCTTTTAGCAGGCAGCTCCAAGACTCAGAAACGGGCTCAGAAAGGAGCACAGCTAACAAGAGTATCTGGAGCTGTTATAGGAAAGATTTAAAAGAACCCCCAAGAGGCCGGAAGAGGACAGAAAACCTTTCGGCCAGGCATACATCGGTCTTTGACTGAGGACACGGACAAAGCTCAAAACCCTTCTTCAAGGGCTTGGTGGTGTTTATGTACCGTTCAGAGGGGGAAGAGTTTGGTACCAAATCAGTGTGAGAGAGAGAGAAGTTGCTGGTCCTGGTGTGGGATTGCATCTCTCTCTAACTGGCTGAGCCTCTTGCACTGGCTTTGAGCTTGCATAAAGCCTTTGATAGCTACTTCTATGTTAAAGCAGCGTGGGTGAGGGAAGAGCCCTCTTGCGTGTCCAACAGTACTTTCTGCTGCCTGCACTTATTATGGTTTTTGTTTGTTTGCTTGTCTTTAAATTTTTTACTGTGCTTTTGATCTGAGCCCAAGAATTGAAACCATCACTGGGAATGTGCTGCTAGAGAGAATTACGAAACAAAATGCAACCACAACACTTAAAATGTTGATTTAAGTGATGTCTAGACCTCATGCTGGCATTCTGCACCAAGATGAATTTCACATAGTGAATACCCCTCCTTGCCTTTCCAGATTTTATATTAAAAGTCAGTTCCCTATGCTCTCACTCAACTCTGGTCCTTATGTATAAAGAGGAATAATAGGGCTTCTGCTTTCTCATTTTCATTTTTTTTTGAGAAGGGCTTGCATTTAATGGAAGTGGAGAGAACACTGAAAAGGAAGCACAAATGTATAGGGCTTTTGAGTTACTAGGTTAATTAAGGAAAACCACAGAATAGTAGCAGTGGAAAAGAGCAAAGTCAAAGTATCCATGCATATTCCACGGCATTGCTGTTGCCTTTGAAGATTTCCGTACCTTTGTAAACCTTGGCTTATGCCAGCAAGTATTTCTAAATCTTCTGCTTTTATTATAGTCACATAGTAGATGTTTTTATTTTGCTTTTATCCTAGAAATTTTCTCTCTTCACTCACAGCTGTGGTGATTTGTTTATTCTGGTGTTGATAACTAGATCTGCAGTTAGCGTGTCTAACAGCACAATAATCCACACACACCAGACACATGTAGGTACATCCAGCACAGAATATTCATTTGTGTTGGAGGATGGAGAAGAGTTATCAGCCAGAAAGGACTTAAAATGCTTTCCAGGTTCAGAATTCAAGTGTTTTGTACAGTGGCAGAATAATATCCAAGGGAAATATTTTTTCTGTGGAAATCCCCATTTTAGGGAGGGAAAAAAAAAAATTACAAAGTAGTGTTTCTGCTGTTTATTCTGGCAACCAAAGCTGCTCAAGCATTATAAAGTATAATACTTAGTAGTAATTCCAAATAAATCATTTGAGACTACAGTCTTTTAGGTTATTCTTTTCCTTCTTTTATACTAGACATCACAGCCAAGACAGGGCACCTCTTCTGCCTGGAGCTGCTCATTAATATAGGAAAGAATACTGAGACAGAAGAGTTTATTATCTAAACAGACAGCACATAGTGAAAGAAGTTACTACCCACACTCTTCTGACGGGAATGAAGGAATATTAAGAGTAAATGACTTATTGAAGGCAGTATCGATTGCTATGTACAAAACCCCCGGTCCACCACAGTTCTGATCCAGTACTTAAAATATTTTTTTTTCATCTATTTATTCTTAATATAAAAGGATTTGATGCTTCATATCTCTTTTTTTCTCTGCATTTATTGTTTGAAGACACCTAAACTGTCACAAAGAACTTCTTTATATCAGATGTGCAAGCCATGATCACTATGATGGGCTTGAAGATGAAAGGAAAGAGCCCATTACCAAAAAAAAAGAACATTTGCATCCAACTCCTGCACCAATATGGAAGCCTTTTGCCATGCATAGCAAGATACTTTATGCATTCCCTTGCCCTGAAAGGGTTGACCGTGTCCTGAGGGACACAGAAAGCAAGATGATATATATAAGGTCACAACTTTGAAGTATTAAAGTGGCTCCAAAGCTTCTTTTCATTTCCTGGAAGCTCCCTGATGACAAAATATTTCCATACATAGGAAAGTGAAAGAAGGACTTTCACCTGTTTGGACTTTTTGTTTGAACTTTGGTCCATCTCCTAAAATCAGCAGAAGTTGCGGAGAGGTTTGCCTCTCCATCGGGCCTGGCATGAGGGCCACTTTGCCACAAACAGAGGGCAGAATGAAATGGATCCATCTGACATTCTCAGTGGTCAAAATTCTCATGGGAACAGAGACCAGCAACCTTGTTGCTTACATCCTGATTGTGTAGACCTACGTGGCACAAAAAGATATGAGTGTTGCATTAACTCTCTGTACATGGTGAAATTTCACTCAGCAGCTTGAGAAGGTCAATTAAGTATTAAATAGCACCCAGGATAACAGGGTAAGATCACTATGTACCATGTAACATTTTTTTACATATCATGAGCTGTGCACAAGGGCATATCTAAATAAAATGCATAGGAAATAGCATCACACAAATATGATCTACATTTTTCCATGATCAAAGAGGCTGAGAGAAAAAATAATTAAAAAGTAAAAGCCTTATGCAATGAGATTTAAAAGAAAACTTTGGAGGCTGACAAGACGCATCTGGCACAACTTCAAAGTCCATCAAAGTACATATAATCAATGTTTGTCAATAGCAGTTTTGCATCCTTTAATTTATCTTTCATGGATATAAAGCATGATGTTATTAGGATCCAGTCCATACCTTAATTCTGTTTGAGATTTGATGAATCAGGGCTCTATTAAAATTCAGTGCAAATCAGCTTACTCAAGGACACATTACATAAAGTCGTGCGTTATCTAACTCCTTTTATCTTGCTGTCTTTCTAACTAGTTAAAGAATATGGAATCTCATAAACTTGAATGTGTTGGCTGGCCACCAACACAATAAATCTCAAACACATATTGCTTGTAGGCACCTGCTTAAGGTATGCACATGTGGCGTAATCAGCAAACCTTAATTCTTTGTGTATTTTTTGATATATGAAATCTCCTTTAGGACTGTTCATGCTTCACAGCAAGGAATCATCAGAAACAAGGTTCTCTGGCATCAGAATTTCAGCACTTGTCACAGAGTCTGTAATCAAGTGCTCACAACTGATCTTTTTCAACAGAAAAATCATATTCAGGATGGGAAACGATGAAGCCCTTGGGATTTCACTGTTTTCTTCCTCATATTCCAACATGTGGACACCCCTCCCATCCATTTTATTTACTGTACTGTATTCAGGTTCTTTTGAGTGGACAGGAATATTCATTTTTCCCCTGGTGCGGTATAATGTGCTCAGCATTACCCTGTTTACCTGTTTTATCACAACAAAGAAAACATTGATAGGGAACTCTTAGTGAATTTGGGCTGTGATGTGAAAACACTATTTCTTTCACTTCCTTTTTAGGCCCTAAACTGCTGGGGAGAAAGAATTGTCATTTCATTTGTTTTCATAACACATAGCAGAAACAAAATCTGTTCAGTAAGAGTTTTTCAGCATTTCAGCAATAGTGGATTATTTATTCTTTCAGTAATACTGTAATTTCCTCAGATGCTACTGTTGCTGCAAATGTTTCAGCCTCAGGAGGTTGGGCGTTACTCAAAAATTTGAATTTTTATTAAAAAATAAAAAATATTACAGGCTCTCACATTAGTGGACAAATGCTGGAGAACGTGGTCTGTGTATGTCTGAAATTTATAAAATAATAAATAAAAACTACTTTTCTGTTTTTAAAAATTGTATATTAGATATCACTATCTAGATCTATTCTAGATCTCACTATTTTTCAGGTGGGAGAGAAGTAAGTCTGATTCATACTTTTTTTCCCAATTGATAATAATAGTTGAAAGATTATACTAATACAAGGAAAATGTATGTTTTCATTGTTAATTTGTACCATTCCCATCTGACACTTACTGATTTAAAACATTTGCCAGCAATCAATGCAGTGATTATCTGGACAGGATGCATTTATTTGATCAGGACAACCTGTTGAACATTAAACAATATTTGAAGCACGGTTAATTATTTGCACTGAATTAGCTCACCCTCAGGACTGTGGCTTGTCCAAAAAAACGTAGGCAAGAAGAAGTCAATTTCAAGAAAAAAATGAGCATAAAGGTGGTTGACAGTGCTTTGACCCTTCAGGTTCTCCCATTGTTCATTCTCCTTGGGATCACACAATTGTGCGTGAGTATGTTTTTACATTGCTTTTCTTTCCATGTGCCAGCTCTGCTCCGTGCTGAGCCCTGCCCAGGCAGTTGCAGCACTTTTCAGGATACTGAGGTGTCCAAGTAAATGCAGCATAACAGGGAAGTCCTATGGTTTTTTGGAGCAGACATCTACAGTGTCAAGGAATGGCTCATCTGGGTACAATCGGCTAAGTGGCCACCCCACTCCCAGGGGAGTACAGTCACTCCCACAGCCCTGGGCACAAAGAAATGCTCCGGAACACTGGGCTGCAGCATGGGCAGCTCAGTTTAGAATCACAGAATGTTTTGGTATGGAAGGGACCTTAAAGATTGCATAATTCCAACCCCCCCCCGTGCCCTGGGCAGGGACATCTTCCACTTGACCAGATTGCACAGAGCCCCTTCCAGCCTAGCTTTAAATGTTTCCATGGATGGAGCATCCACCATCTCCCTGGGTAACCTGTGCCAGTGTTTCTACACCCTTACCATAAAATTTTTCTTCCTCCTATCTAGTCTTCATGGTGAGGGGCCTAAATATCGGACTATTGTCCTGGCAGTTTTGCAAACTCTTCTGTCTAAGGTGAAATTTCCCCCAGCCATATGTTTTGGATGATTGAATTGTCATTGCCACTAATGTGGGAGGAAGGCTAGTGGCAAAATATTCAACACAGCTAGAGATGGCCAGAGCTCTACTCAGGCAGAGCTTGATATACTTTCCCAAATCTATTCATCTCCTCTTAAAAGAAGACTGGAAGAATGACTTGTAACCAAAGGAAAGTTAAAAGCCAGTTTTTAAAAAATTCTTTTGTTCTTCCAAGCATGGGGATCAAGTAGATTTTCTCATGAAGGAATCTGAAGTTCTTTAAACAACTGCTTTCTTAGTGACATTTCCCATGTGTGCGGGTTCACATTTACTGAAATGTGTTGTGAAAATTCAGATGTTGACAGGTTAAGATTGAGTTCTTTGGGGAAAAGACATAGTGAGGGGCTTTAATGGGTTATAGATCTTTTTGAAGAGATTGGTGAATTGGAGATCAGTGATTTTAGTAACACAATAGAGTGTTAATTAGTGTCTACTCTGTCAGCACTTGGTCCAGCAGTATATGAAGCAGCTTACTGAGGGGATCAGTTCTAGGGTAGTTCAATGCCAGGTTTACAGACATTGGCAGAACCCAATCTAATACAAATAAGATCATAATGAATTGGCTGTGTTAATTCATGCTCAGTGAAGAAGATGTAGGGGCAGTCTTAGACAACATGAAGTCTTGCACAGATTTTTCCTAACTAATCCTAAGTGTTAGGTTGATTCATTAGCTTTGACAATCCTAATCTAACTTTGCCCTAAATTTTGCTGTAGAAAATGTAGTGTATATCTCCCCCCAACCCTGAAAATTCATTAACATTGCTAAAATGCATAAGCAATTCTGCTGTCACTGAAAAGCAGCACGACAGAATATTCAGCAGGCTAGTTTTTAATAAAACATGCTTTTTCTTCATAATTAATATAGCAAGGTTTTCTGGCTTAGCACTTGGCATGGATCCCAGGAAAAAAAAAAAAAAAAAAAAGAGGAAATGAGTTGCCATGATGTGACCATTTCATGACAAACAAGTTATAAGAGGACATTTTTGCCTTAATGATTTGTCCCAAAGAAAAAGTTGCACTGGAATAGTTTGAATGAAAAGATAATAGACTTTGCACTTTGCTGAAACCATGGAAAACAGTCTATTTCCATCTTATCCTAGAACTACCTATCTTCATCATTTTTATTTGAATCAGGCTTTAGGAGTTTTTATACACACTGATTAACAAATATTATTGGTGAAATATAGCAGAAGTCAAACACAGGTTTAAGCAGTAACTCATGCTGAGTCAGTTCAAACACTCAGACATTCAAGGATCTGGTGGGTTTGGAGCAGAACCCTTAGGCAAAAATTTTCATTCAGTTCTTTCATATTACCTGAAGGTAAACTGAATTCACCTGTATGCATCCAAACTATTTCCACGAAAGGCATAAAGCTGCATGGTGAATGCAAGTGAGAACAAATTTGGTCCTTTATTTTAGCATATATGCTGCCAGCACAACAAAGACTGTTTTCAGACATGGCAGGTCTTCTCTGATGGTTGTTTTTTTCATGCTTTTCATTTCACTTCTGCTCAGCAAGATACTGAAGCAGAAATGTGCCTACCTGGGCTAGAGAAATCTGGAACAGGACAAGACCAAGTTGGATCCCACAATACTCCAGTGTAAATCAACACACATTCTGATCAGGCTTTTTCCTTGTATGAGAATTCTCTGCAAACTCAACGCTCCTGGCAGGAAGGAGGAAGACTTGCAAAGGGCAGAGTAGCAGAGGTAGTTCCTCACTGAATATTTTGGAACTTCAAAAAATTACTGTTGGCTTAGTTGTGATGGAAAGTGTTTTGAAGTCACTAGTCATGCCCAGTCCAATAACCAAGAGCACTTAGCAGTGAAAACAGATGAAAGTATCACATTAAGATCAAACAATTGCCAAAAAACCTTATCAACAGTGCCTGTCTCCTGCCTGGCCCACAACAAGCAGGAAACTGTACCAGCAGTGCAGGTCCTTCCTTGCCTCAGGTGCTTGGAGACCAACATTTTAGGCTGTCCCAACGTTAACACTGTCTGACATCTTTTCCTACCCCCCCAGTGGATCTATTCCTGTAGAAAACTCCCACTTCTTCTCCCCTCACTCTCACTCCAGGGCTGCACTACTCGCACAAGGCCTTCTTGCTGCACTGTGTTGAGAACCAATCCCCTGCAAAGAGAAGGGATTGCTGTCAGGCCCATCTCGGTTTGTGGCCCATCAGGTGTGATACCCTTCTGCAGCGCTCGCCTAAATTCGCCTGATGCAGCAGGAAAGCAACAAAGCCCTGGGAGCGCCCCCAGCTAATTTTGCACCGTGCTCTCAGAGAGGGAAGCGTTCGGCGCTGACCCCCGAAGGCAATCAGCTTATGCCCTGCAGCGTGCAGGATGATATCCCGTGTAACTAAAGGGACTTAATGACTTTGCATAAGCTTTAAGTCTAGCAGTATAACCTGCATTCCCAGCACTGGCTGCAGAAGCGTTTGATAGCGCAGCGCACTCGTGTTAGTGTGACAGGCCGGCTCCTGCAGCCCCCTGACACAGATTTTGTAGATTCCCCTTGCTGTGGCATCCAAGGCTGACCCCGTTTCCCACACGGGAGCACGGGCACACCTCACCCACCAGTGAGCAGGTTTAAAAACAACCCGCTGCTACCAGGCCACTTCTCACAGTGCAAAGATTAATTTGGAAACTTTGATCTCTTGGAAAACAGGAGCAGGTAACTCCTGAGTAGAGAACCAAGCTGGTTTCAGCAGCACCTCTGAGGGATCTTGCTTTTTTTCCTGGATCCCTGTGGGTTTTTTGTATCAGGTGCTACCATGGGAAAGGTTCACAATTAAATAATCAACAAAATAAAGACTTTAAATATGAACCTCTCTGGGTACCCTGGGACAAGTTGATAAGGACACATCATTTACTCTAAGGCACACACTGCTGCTCAGGGTGGAGGTAGGTGATGTCTTGTCAGCGGAGAGGTGAAGAAGTCAGAGGTTTTGGTGGAATCCTTTCAGAGAATGGTTTCCCAGGCAAAAACTTCAACATGTGTTGCATGTGTGATCCAGATGATAGTGTGCCCTGCTTTCATTATACAGCAAGCATGGCCTTGGCTGAGAAATACAATGTCATTGCTGGAAAAGCCACTTTCCCTTGAAGTTCAAAGACTGTCACTACCCAAGATGGTTGCAGGCAAAAATCTGGCCGATTGTAAGAGCATCAGAACTGTGGATTCCCTCCTCCTTTGGCAAGCAGCCCGGACAAAGGTTCTTACTGAGAGCTGTCAGTGGGATCAAGGGGTTCACTATGAGAAGGCAGTAGTTGTGTCTGCCCTCATGGCTCCTTCATGCCTGATGTCAGTTCTGGATGGAAGTTGAACAAATATATACATCTTCATTCTCCAGTTCAACCCCATCCCACCTCCTTCTTGGCTGCAAAGCTGCGACTGCACAGGTGAACAAATGAAAGCATAATCTTTGTTATTCTACCATGGAGGCCACTTCATGGCAAGTTGCAGGAGAATCTGCAGGACTTAATGCAATTAACTGAATTGGCCAATTCCTACCAGTGCAGTTTAGTGTTTGAACTCCTGTAGTGCTTTGTTGCGAAGTGTTTGCGTGTGTAGAGGTAGTTTTCATCTCTCTCGCTAGTCTGTCATGCCAGCTTGAGTAGCTACACTGTTTTCTCTGGAATTCTGTTTTGCACACATGCAAATTCACAGCCTAACCCTGGGCTGTCACCTTTCTCCTCTCTTTCTCCACCTGCTTTTTTCTTTAGTTATTTGTTTTTAATGTAATAAGGGGTAACAAAGTACCCAAGACACAGTAAACAGTTCAACTGCAGAATGCCCTTGGCTGCTGTAAATAACTTCCCGCCTGAATTTGGTGTCAAATCTTCCTGGCTTTATTCACAAAGAATTGCCAGAGATTAACTGGACATTTTTGTCTGAGAAAGAATCATGGAATTCTGTCCTGAGATGAAGAAAGCTCATGGTTCTGGCATTCCTGTTTGAAATCTATTACATTTCCCTAGTCTCTCTTTCTTTAGGAGTTGAAATGGAAAAATTGAGAACATCATATATATTCAATATTTAATCTTAGTACAAAGTCTATTTAGCAAAATTTTGATGGTTCTTTGGAGAAATGAAGTTTTAGTAAAGTGCTAGTCATTACAATGAAGACAGACAACAAAGATCAGGTGAAATTAGGATATTTTGAATTTCAGCCATTTTTTCCACTATTTTTTCTAGAAGCCCTATAAATGTAATTGGCTCCACAGTCAGCAGTGCACTGATACTCATATAAAATGTTTCTCCTAGCCTTTTTTTTTTTTAGGATTTCTTTTTTATGAGCCTAAAGTAATAAAATCTAGAATTGCTCTCTGCAAATTCTTCCAGCTTTGTCCCTCATCTCTGCAGACCTGCTACGAACAGGATCCAGTGATTTTATTCCCTCTTGAGAGAGCACACAAAGTATCAGTGTCGAGCTGCAGCAAGGAGACTGTTTGGTGAAACCAGCCCCTCAGTCTAATTTCTTCTCCCCTGCTCCATTCCTTTTGTTTGAATCCTGCTCCGTGTTGGGCTTAGTGTTGCACCTCGTCGGAAGGACAAGATCCTCCTCTGCTGGCCACGAGCAATACGGCACTGCAGGCAGGAGGCCCTGCCTTCACTGCCCCCGCCTGAACCCCCTCCTGCAGCCCCCTCCTGCCCACCCCGCACCCCCCCCCCGCAGTGCACCTTTACCTAACAACCTCCTTCTGCATCCCATATCCAACACCTTGCATCACAAACCCTACATCCCACACCCCCTCATGGCACAGAGGAAGGGGTGAGCTCCAGCAGACAGGAGGGAAGGAGGTAGGCTCTGCACACCACCGTTGCATGCTTCGTGCCAGGAGCCAAAAGGCTAAAATTTGGCCCTGGGCTGGCCAGTGGGGCCAAAAATACTTGAAAGCCAGTGTGGTCCGGTAAGCGGTCCACTGGGCCTCAGGAGGGAGGAGAAAACTCTCCATACTGAGAAGTCAGCTCTGCTCACGGTTTTGTCCCCTGCTGCAGCTTGTGACGGGCACACAAGGAGGGAAAGCTGCAGCACAAAATAAGATACAGGAGCCTTACGGTAAAGATTGTGTTTAACTCTTTGACTTTCCATGCTGGGTGCTCCAGGAGCTTTTGTTCCCAGTAACATTTGTGCTGTGTCAGCAGATAGAGGCTTTCATCTGAAAGCAGGAACCAAAATCTGGGACTCAGCCACCCCAGAGTCCAAGCCACTGCCTACTCTGAAGGATATTACCAGAAATGTACACATTGTCTAGGGTACCAGTTTACTGCAAGAGGGAGTTTAGGTTATGTGCCCTTTTGCAGTCAGCTGTGCCCGTGCTTGGACAGGAGGGGCAGGTGGGTCACCTGGAAAAGAAAGTAGTGTAGCAAAGGGGCTATGGCTTTCATCTTTCTTATTTCCTTGAGGTGTGAGCATTGTGAGACTTTTATCTCTGCTCTTCAGCTGGGGAAACTGAGGCACAGAAAAGCGTGATACAGTCACGTCCTGCACCTCGCTCAGCCTGGGCTGAAACCCTCCGTCATTCCCCTGGGGTGCCAAGGGCTGCCACGAGTGCAGGAGCAAGCTCACTAAAGTCAAACCCTTCAGACCCAAACCCTTTCCAACCCCACCAGGCAAACAGCACAACAGGGCAGCGCAGAGGGCTGGGGAGGGAGATGAAACGTTTCTTGCTTTATCCTGCTTCCTTGTTCTTTGTTTCATCTCTTCCTCCAAAAGAAAGGAGTACATTTGCAGGGTTTGTTTTGGTCTGTTTATGGATGAACGCTACCACTAATTGTAAATGGAGCAATTAGACCTTTGCTTTATATAGTCTCCGCCGGGGTCTGGCAAAGGATCTGAAGAACGCTGTACCTGCACTCAGGAAGCATATACACCAAGGACAGAGCTTTTACAGCCTTCTCATTTACCATCATCTCTGTGCTCATTCGGGGGGGCAATTGTGTGAGGATGTGTCCTTCCAGCTGCAAAGGATTTAGTTCTGTATGTGTGTGGCTCACTTAAATGCACCTGGGAAGGGGCTCAGCTGAGTGGTTCAGGGGACATTGCTCTCATTAAAGTCAGTGGCAAGGGGAGAGCTGGAGTGTCTGTTCTTCCTGGCTCAAACACAAGAGGGATACAAACGTGCCTGAAGCAAAAACTCATTTATATATTCCAGGTAATATTCACAAATGTGAATTCTGAGCTTTTTTTTTTTTGTTCTGTTTTTTATTCATTGCTTCTGATTCATTTGTTCTTAGTCACAACCAGCATTATCTGAGAATGTCTTTCTTCTATATATAAGGTACAACTAAACAGGGCATATATTTATAGTTAATTGTATCTGTGGCAATGCATAGGTGCACATAATAATTGTGTACATATACTATCTTTATTATAGTTGCTAAATTGTTTCGAAATACGCTTTCTTTAAAAAAATCGTGTGAAGGATGAAGAACAGCAGCTCCAAATCTCCTTTACGCCGCTGTTACCATGTGCATCCTCATGCAGGCAGGTAATCCTGCCTGCAGCTGGAATTCAAAGCAAGAGGGAAAGCAAACGGAAATTGTCATGCTGGGTATATGTCCTGGTGCAGAGTCAGTGTGTCTCCTTTCAGACAAACCTCACTTGCACTCTTCAAAGGCTGAGAGCTGTTTTCCGTCTTCTTCTGTTTCCTTTTGTTGCTTGCCCTTGATCATGAGCCAAAGCGGAAAGGCTGGAGCCCCATGTCCGAAGTTGGACACATGGCATTTCCTCATGGAAAGCACCAGAAATATTCTCCTGCATCCAAAGGCCTTCCAGCTCAGGGGTCCAGGTCCCACTGGCTGCACCAGGCTTACACTCCTGGGCCGTGCTGCAGTGCCTGACCTCCACTCTACCAAGCCCTGGCATGTGCCAACCTGCAGCTTTGTCAGCCAGCTGGAGTGTGGCCCCTGTCAGCATTTCAGAGAAGCTGGACAAACAGCCCATGAGCCATCACTTTGTAAGCTAAGAGGCAATTTAACTCATTCGGGACAGATTTGCCCTCAAATAGATCAGCCCAGCGGCTTGGGCTGTGTGCTCAGAAAGCCAGATATCCCATGTGGATTGCTGACATTTTGTTAATCTTTTGAAAGAGCTCTTACAGCCCAGTCTAATTAGCTCCAAAGTGGGGAACAACCTTGTCTGGATGTCCAGCACTAGGGGCAAACAGAAACTTTGCATTGTAAGCAAAGCTCTGTTCTGGCTTTTGTTTTTTTCAGAATCTGACTCTCTGCCATTTATTATCTCATGCAGGCTTCCCAAGTTTCCCTCTGGGTCCACCTAATGCAAGGTAAGTGCTATCAGTTTCTTCTTTTTAACTTCTGGGTACAAAACTGAAAGGCTGGCAACTTGGTTCATCAAGAGCCTTCACTAGTGCCCAGTGCTGAATTTTACTTCATCCAGAGCCTTGCTGAGCTTAAAATAAGGCCTGTGTATAAAATCTGTTTACCTTTGGACAAGTTATATGGCAAGTACTTTCACACTCCACAAGTGCTACACGTGCAGGAGGCAACAGTTGTGGATGAAAACTGAAGATCAAATAAACAAAAGCTGACTTCCCCCTGCAGCTTACAACTAACTGTGAAACTTACTTCTGCAAGGCTCTGTCCAAAGTGCAGGAAGGTTCAAAAAGTGTTTACAAGCCCATGCAAGTAAAAAAATCATTAAAGGCTACATAGCATTAAGATGTTGATAAGGGAAAAGCTGTGATGGTTGTTGTGTGAGGATGTGTAAATTGTGTTGAGGATTTGTACATCCTTTTGCAGCCTACTTGGTCTATATAGAAGATTATGGGTTTATTGATAAGTTTGGTTTTTTTGCAGGTAAGCCCAGCTCCTCCTTTTCTTGATTACAGTGGCTCTTACGTCTGAGTTTATAATGTATATCTAATGAAGCATTACATTAATTTTGTTCATTATTCTGCAAAAAAAGAGTGTGGTTGCACTCATTATCCATCTGCATTTGTGTTCATTCCAGTGGCATTTTTGCTCTCGGATCAAACCTGGAAGTCCAGAAACCTTGTAGCTCATACAGCAGTGCTTCTTTCCCCAAATCAGTGTTGCTGTTCTAACATGTGCGTAGGAAACAAATTTCCGAATCATTTGTGTGTTTGAGCTCAGTATCTGACTTGTACTAATATTTGGCCATAGAGTCATCCACTTGACTTCAGGGTTTGCACACCTGTTTACACACAAGTTTGCAGCCCTGTGCAAACTATTTGATTTCCTTTTTAATGGTAGAGTATCCCTTTCACCATTTCTCAGTTCATTCCCTCCCTTGTGGTTTATGATCCTTACACTGTCCCTCCACTGTACCTTACTCTCTCCCACTCTCCATCCCCCTCCAAGTCTCCATTCCTTCAGCCATCACGCTCCAGCTTCACCCAGCATCCATCCCTCTGCTGCAAAAGATGCTGCAAAACTCCTTTTAAGTAACAACCACAAAACTATTTGAAAGGCTTCCTGGCTTTGTTGTTAGCTGGTCTCCCTTCTTTCTGAAGCTGCAGATACTCCCAGCCACAGCCTGCTTAGAAGGGAGGAAATACTATGAGGTCTCATCTCTGCAGAAGTAAATGGGGAATATCTCGTTATTTAGAATATAGTCAGGATTTCAGCCTCATAAAAATAACACTACAATAACCTCAGAGCTGGAGACAAAACCTATTTAGAGACGTGGTAGGAAAAGTCATCCTGCTTAAATTAGGCCAGATTTCAGTCAGTCCCCAGAGGTTCAGAGAGCTTGAATAAATGGTGAGTACTTTCTGGAGCTCTTTATGTGTATTGGCAATAGGCTTTAACTCTGCACATCACTCATCTTGACAACTGCAGTCCAACAAAGTTACCTCGCAATTCAGGTCACCCGATGGCATCCTAATGCATCACTTTCCCACTCGGAACATTAGTCATGACTTGATCCAGTGAAGGTTTTGAAAACAGTGTGACTGTCGACGTTGAGATATCTGTTCTCTCAGTAACAGAGAGCTTGTGTAAGCTAATGAACAAGGGGATATTGATCAGAAATCCATTGCTTGATTGACAGCTCTCGGCAATATGAAAACCTGCAGATGAAAGCTTGAGCAGTTTAAAAGATCACCCAGACCTCAAAGCTGATTTGAAGCTTTAAAAGTCAATCTCTGTCTATCAATTATGGGGGGATTTTTTTGTACTACACAGAGGAAAGTTATTCTTTGAAAATTTGCATGCAGGATGTCTAATTTAATTCCATGTAATAGTCACATTTCAGTGACAAATGTCAGATCACTGCTTTTTTTAAGCATGTTAAGGTTTTCCAGCACTTAGAAAGAATGAGCACTCTGATTTAGTAATGGGTTTAAATCAACCAGTGTATCAGACTTTGTGCTTTAATTATGTGCTCAGATAAAAAGTGTTGTTTTTACTTTACTAAACCTATGGCTTGTTATGAATAATTAAAAAAATGGAATGGGAGCACTTCTTAAATAAGAAATGTGGAAGCCAAATACTTATTTAGTGTCAAAACAGTGATAAACAAGAAGATGTCTTTTAGTTTGGTGTCATATATCCAAGTCAGGGTTTTCTGGTCTTTGTTTTTCATTGCTTTGTGCAGCTGGAGAGGAGATAGAATAGCGGGGAGATGGGAAGCATCACTCATGTGACCCCTAGAAACTATGTTTGTTTCACAGTTTCATAAAGAGGGATGGTGATGGACAAAGCAGGACACTGGTCATTTCTTAGATCTGCTGCACTCTCGCATCACCTTGGCTGGTCTCCAGAGCAGTCCCTTCAGCTTTCCGATTCCCACTGTCTACATGGGAGCCAGGGTATCCAAAAGGGTTTGCTGATGTCTTCTGAGCCCTTTCCACATACACCCATAACACCACGACTCGATCATTGAGTTTCTTGAAATGGTATTGCCAGTCCATGAGGGGGCTGCTCAGCGCCACCTGTTTGACCTCAGCCCTGGCCACCTGAAATGGCCCTCCTCGAGGGGTGCTGGAGGCCAAACTGGCCTCAGATGTGCAACAGCCTGTCCCAAAACTGCCTTGTCAATGCAAGTGGGGGTTTGTGCTCCTCCATATCTCAGAGCCACCAGAAGCAGATGTCTTGCAAAACCTGAATTACGTCTTGGTCAACTTGGGGTTTACTGCAGAAATGTGCTTAAAAATAGTCTATAATGTGTCAACAAGTAACTTTATGAGTGTTCTTAATAAATGATTAATCCATTGCTAAGAAATTATGCCAATGTAGCAAAATCAAGTGACAGTAGTGTAATTTCTTAACACCATACTTACACTAACAGTTGGTTTAAAAAACAGAGTAGATGATTCTACAATGGCTTAGCAATTTGTGCTCATTTGGGGCACTTTTTTTTCCTCTGTTGATTCAAGACAGTCCTCTCCAACCTCTGTAAACCATGCTAGCATATTTGCAGTCTGCTTTTGGCAGCCATAACTCCCCCTCTTCATCCTTCATAACTTCCAGCAGGTATATTTATCCATAAAAAGGGCTACCCCATCTTTCAGAATACTTCTTCAAAGCATCTGTGGAATAAAAGCCAACATGCCCCACTAAGATTCTGAAAATAAACTGGAGAAACAAAATCAGACTCCTTCAAACACTTCTCTCAAACTCCAGTCATTTGCAAAATCTCCTCTCCAACAAAGTGAACTTGTAGGCTGCATTTCAGGCAAAACTTCCTTTTTGTTTTTCTTTCTTAACTACATCACATTAAATTTAATTTTGTTCACTGTAGACAATGTCCTTATCTTCCAGCAAGATCCTTCTGTTCCTCAGCAAGGCATACACTTCTGCAACACTTGCACATAGCCGAGACTCAGCTCCTGTGGAAATAATGAGCTGAGGAAAAGGAGTCTTGACTTGACATAGCAACAAATGAGGTGAAACTTTCCTCTAAATTTTTTTTTTTTTTTTTGGTGAGGAACGAGAGTTGGCATGTAGGAAAAAAAAAAGAAGAAGAAAAAAGACAGTTCTATTTTAATATGAAATATAAAACACCCATTGTACAAACGTGGAATTTCTTTCTTTTTTTCAGAAGCAAAGAAAGAATAAAGATAAAGGCTGCAAGTGAATGAATGAGGAGAGAAAACTAAGATAATGCAGTCGATAATCAGTTCAAGGCAGAGCATTATCCATGGGGCCATCGGTCCAGCCCTAGGGGAGAGCTTTTTAAAATGTCTCTGTACTTAGCTTAGCTTTGCTCATTACCATACCTTGTCTTTGAAACACTGGAGTGGCTCCCACCGACAACAGCTGTACCTGTGCAAGGAGCTGCCAGCCCACTTTAATCAAACAATCCCCCCAGCGCGGCTGGCGGAGCTGCGGGTCCCAGCAGGCTCCCGTGAGGACACTGGGGGCTGGGGGCTGGCAGGGGTGAGGGTGGGCTCCTCCGCACGTGTCTGCTGTGCCAGGCCCTCGCTCCTTGAAGGGTGTTTTATGGGCAAGGAGTCACACAGACGTGCAGGTGCCTCAGGCTCCCCATCCCTCCCGATTGCCCTTGGAAAGGGACTCTGTCCCCACACACAGCAGGCACCCGTGTGCTGGGGGGGTCTTTGCTGCAGCAGCAATGATGCTGGTGATCAAAGCTGCTGCACAAAGAAAACCCCTTCTTCTTGTAGGAATCTGAATCTCCTTCTCTCACTGTGCTGGTACCACCCTCAGCATCTTCTCTGGCTGTGCTGCCACATGGGGGGCTCCTCATGCCTGTGCCTGCAGAGTCCCAGCCTGCATCCCCTCTGGGGCATCCCAGCTGCCACCACAGGAGTCAGCTGAGCAGCCAGAGACCCAGTGCCCTTCCGAAGGGTCAGGGAGGGCAGCTACGGGGCCAGTGGTGCTCAGGGTGCCCATGCTGGGCTCCAGGTGAGCTGGACCTATGCCAAAGAAGAGCTGAATGTCACCTTGGGTGCTCAGGATGATGTAATCTCTAGACCCACTGACATCCCCAATGAGCTGAAAGAGATACGGACTGTCCATCTCAGGGAATAACTTCTTTCATACCTTGTCTCCTTCCAGCAGTTTTGATTCCTCTGTTCTTTCAACCTCTTCTCTCCCCTCCCTGCAGACAAGGATGATGACTTTGAATACTATGACTCCACCGAACAGGAGCAGGACCCCAGCCTCCAGCACCATTCCTGGGAGGAAATGAGCTTTATTGAGACATCTGTAGGTGACTTCTCTACAATGCCAGGTACCTCTGAGGGGTGGGCAGGGAGGCAAGGAAGGGGTAAAATCCCAACCCTGAGCTTGCAGTGTAGGTGTGGCAGGTCTCGGCTGCCAGCCTGCTCTCGAAATGCCTGCATCAAAGGGATGAGTTAGGAGGATCATTTGCAGTGTTCTTCTTTGTATTTCTCTTGTAAGGAGCCTGTGTTTTATCTCCAGGTTTCACAGGATGGATTGTGATCATGCAGAACATTTCTGATTGCTACTACAAAAAAGCACAGGCTTATTTGTCTATAGACACTGTAAGATGTAATTGCTGTTTTCATGGGATATATGTTCTGTATTTATGCTGAGAACCAAATGTAGAGCAGGTTTCTTTTTTTTTTCTTTTGTCAGTTGCAGGGTTTTTTTCTTTCCTTTTTCTGTTTTGCCAAACTTCAGGAGAACAGGAAAGGATCCTCAAGATTGCTCAGGAAACACAAAAGGCAAGACAGGGAAGTTGCCTGCAACATTCTCTGAGTTATCCCCCAGTGCAAAGAAAGCAGAGCTTGTATTTGACTGCCCCCAATATCAATTACTCCTGCTAGCCTGGACTGCAGTGGGGAGGCTGAGCATGGTGTAAGGAGCAGTGTGCAAGTGACTGTCAACAGGTGCCTGCTCCCTTGAAGCAACAGCCACCCAGGGGCTAGTGGTGATGGATGGCTTTTCTGGGGGAAAATTGGCACTGTATTCCAAACAGAACAATGCCAAATACAGGTACCTACAGACTAAGTGCATGAAAGCAGACAGCCAGAGGCAATGCCAAAGAGGCAAATCTATCCCTGAGCAAAGAAAGGGGCTTGCCATGTTGCAGCTCCCTAGTAGACATGGCAAAGGGAGTGGAGGAGCTGCAGAATCAAAGCCATGAGCTGCTACAGCTTGCAATAAACTCTGCAGCAATTCACACCACTGCTGTGGCTGCTGAACTGATGCATAAGCACGGTTGATACACTGGATGCTGCGCCCAGGAAGGCAGCCTTCTGCAGTCAGAAGATGCAATAAGAAAAAGCAGGTGAGGAAGGTTGAGAAGCTGAAAGATCTTCGTCCTTACCTCTGCAGACCCATGCCTCTCTGACCCCTGCAAGAACGGTGGTAGGTGTGCACCCGATGGAAGAGACTTCAGCTGTGCCTGCCCCAAGCCATATGGTGGGACCACATGTGAAAAAGGTAATGGCTCTTTGGCTAACCTACACTCCTTATTTTGGCAGTCAGCATTACTGTTACAACATTATAAACCCACTGTTTGCTGGGGTGAGGGTTCTGACAGCCCACAGCAGACATGTTCATAGATCTTACACTTAGTGCCTCATCCAGACCAAAGTCTGTCTGAATAGCATCCAGTAAAGTAGACTTCAGGAGTGCAGAGACTACTCCTCTATCCCCTGCCAGGTGGGCAGTGGGGAGCTGCTCATTGTTACCACAGATATTTTGCCATAATTACCATTAACATGAAGAGAAATCGCAGGTCCACACCTGTCAATTGAAAGCTTCCTTGGGGCATCAGGAGCAAACATCTTCCCATTATCCCTGCAAGGGCACAGCTCTTGTGTACACACAAATGCTGATGAAGTACCTTGTGTCTCTGTTTTCCACAGTGGAGGACACGTGCCTGGACGTGAACTGCCGCATTGGTGACTGCCTGGTTCTGTTAAGCCCACCTTATTTTCGGTGCAGCTGTAAGCCTCCATACAAGGGATCATTCTGCCAACGTGGTGAGCACTCAGCAGGACACTGAGAGAGCTGTGGTGGGGACAGCACCATGGCTGGTCTGTGGTGGGAAATCCCTTGCAGCCCACTGTAGAGGGTGATCTTGCCCTAGTCGTGCAATCTGAGTCTGCTGCAGCTCCCATCCATGGGGCTGGCCAGTGATGAGTTATGCTTGGTTTGCAGGGTGGTGGTTCAGTCACTCATAAAACACCCAGTGATATGCATTTTGCAAGACTTCATAAGAAGTCAAAGTCAACAGGCTAAGGGGGAGCTCTCTCCAGTTTCCACTGGGCATGTGAATGGCTGCCTAGTGCTCAGCAGATTAACAAGGCTGTTCTGTGTTTTCCACATTGACAGCATCCAATCAGTGCAATCCAAACCCTTGCAAAAATGGAGGTACCTGCATACGGAACAGAAAGAGATCAAAATTCACCTGTGAGTGCCCTGAACCTTTCAGAGGGAGATTCTGCGAGATCGGTATGTCACGGCTCCAGGGGAAGGGGTAGGGGAGAAGCCTCCAGACAGCCGGGGCTGCCTTCACCCTGCAGCCAGACTGACTGATGCTGTCACTGCTCCAAGTGCCCGACTACACCTGGGCACCAATCTCTTTGGGGAGAGGGTCAGAGGAAGAGGCTGACTTGGCAAAGGGGCTTGAAACAGTTTCCGTACCAGTGTTTTCCAGGTGTGCTTCGGCAAGGTCCCACTTGGTACTTTTGGCAAGGTACATAATGAGTGAGCACACATTTCCCAGAGGTTGCAGATGTCACATGGAGAAGAAATGTCAGGTTTTCCTTAAACACTCGAAATTTGATGTAGTGAAGATTAATGCCTTGATTCCCCAGGCTGAGGAGACTGCTTCTGATGGGTGGCCAAGGGTATGGGATTACCCCAGCCTGCTGCATGGAGACCCTTCTGCCTCTGCAGCATCACTGTGGGCATCACACCCAACACAGGTTTCCAAGGAGAAGGATCCTTTTCTTTCTGATTTGAAATTAGGATACCTCTTAACTGCTAGGTCTTTACCAAGCAAATAGGTTTTAGGCATTTGAAGTCAATCAAGCTAAAAGATGGAGAGATGCTGGGACACTGGTCTTATTTCTGGACTGTGTACAATAAGGAAAATCATTACTTGGCCCTGTAGGTTCTTCTGATCCTCCACAAAATTAATGTAGGGCAAGGAAGGCAAGGAAGAGGAGCCACTCTGAGCAAGGAACAACACAAAAGTCATTTTCATATAAGCACTGTCTTCCTACAGGACCAGATGATTGTTATGAAGAGGACTCCTCTAAGTACAGGGGAAGAGTGAATCAAGCAGTAGATCGCAGGACCTGCCTGAACTGGAATTCCCACCATCTCTTGGACTTCCCTTTTAATGCCTTTATGGAGGATGCTGACTTTCATGGCATTGGTGACCATAATTTCTGCAGGTAATATTTTGAAAAAGTAGCTGTAGAGATCTGTATCAAAGAGAGTTGTAGAGATCTGTATCAAAGAGAGCACTGAGGGCAAACTGCTCATGAGTCTGACAAACTGACGATGTTAAGACCTCACATCTTTCTAGACACTGCCTGTCTATAAAACACCAGAATGTTAGAGATGTCTTCTCTAGCCATACTGATGTGAGGCTTCCAGAAGCAGCCCTTTTTCTTTGAACCAGTCCTACAATTTTCTTATGGTTAAGACAGGTATGAGAATGGTAATATGGAAGAAGGTTCCCCTTCATCTCAAGCATCTTCTTTGTCAAATCTTATGAAAGAATATCTTTGGAAGTTCAGATCCTATGGGAGCATGAGGCTGCTCCCCTAAGCATCCTCAGCTCCTTCACTGGAGATTTTCTCTTCATGGAGACTTTCCCAGTCCCACTGGCTGATTCTCTCAATTGTTCCCTTCAGGAATCCTGATGAAGATGAAAAACCCTGGTGCTATGTCATAAAAAATAAGGAAGTAGACTGGGAATTCTGTGATGTTTCACCCTGCTCAGGTAAAGAATTAGAAGCGAGCCACTCCGCAGTGTGTAGGTGGTTCAGAGCAGTGGGCACTGCTACTTAACTCCTCCAGTCTAATATTTTCTCTGCACCATACATCTGCTGTCACTTCCAACACAGATGAAGAGCCAACAGACCCACCTGAATCAAATGAAATATTCGATACATGTGGGCAACCAGAAGTTCGTGGAGCACTCAAGAGGATCTATGGTGGATCCAAGGCTACAGCTGGCAAGCATCCCTGGATGGCATCTGTGCAGATGAAGACTCCAGCTGGGAGTGAACATTTCTGTGGTGGAGTGCTAATTAAATCATGCTGGGTTCTTACTGCTGGGCACTGCTTTGAGTAGGTGCATGCCCTAGAATGAGGGTAGATAAGTATATAAAAATTAGGATGGTTAGAAAAGACGGCTTAGTATCCAAATTATTTGCCACCAAAATGATTGCTGGCAATCAAATTGAAAGGAAAGCAGGTATGTGAAAAAAATGGACACGTAATTAAAAATGCTTAAATACTTGAAAATGGTTCTTGTTGGAATAAGAAACTTATGCACCACTCTCCTAAAATGAGCTAAAATAGTTGTGTGAGAAGAGAAAAGGAGGACAGTAACAAGATTTTGCAATGTATAAAGGAAGAACTCTATGAAAAATTCAGGGGATATTGGGATACTATGAGCAATATCACATACTACATCAGAATTAAGTTCTTCAAAACAGCCAAAACATGCATTTTGCTTTCATTATTTACTGTGTCAGCTAGCTTTAAATATTTCCTTCAATATTTGCATTGAATTAGTTGGAAACCACCTAGGAAACAGGTAAATTACACTCTGGAGATCATTCCAACACAGATAATTTTAAATATGTCCAAACAATGGCAAGAAATTGTACTCTCATGGCTCCAGCACACCACTAGTCTGCCCTAAAATGCAAAGAAAAACATGTATGTGAAGCTTTAAATCACTTTATTTCACGATTGCAGCAAGTTAAGAGCACATATATTTTCCAATACCACTGCTTTACTAACTAAGCCTTCCTATAATGATCTTAGGAAATCTTCTGGCCATGCTCGACAACAGGAAGTAATATCTTGACTTCCTGGTTCTGAAAGTGCAGGTTTTCATTACCTGGTAGACAATGTCTGCATGTAATTCACTTTTTTGTTTGTTGTTTGTTTGTTTGTTTGTTTGGGTTTTTTGTTTGTTTTCTAGAAACATGAAACGAAATATCCAAGTAGCCCTTGGAAAGCAAAACCTCAAGAAGAAAGAGTTTCATGAGCAAAGATTTGATGTGGAGAAAATCATTGTGCATGACAAATACATTGACAGAGGTGGCGTCCCATACAATGATATCGGTAAATCCCTTTCACTCACGTGTCTCACCTCCAACCCCAGTTTTTGAAGCTGTTCGTCTCCAGCTAAAATTCTCATTGAAACTATGCTCTGGAAATAATTAGGACAAATTGTGATCTAGGCCCATTTGAATCTTTGGGATGTAAATTGTAATGGGCAGGCAGAAGTGACTCTGTAGGAGGAGCAGAACAACCGGGACAGGTCGGACATGGAGCACAAATGGCACACGGGGTACAGGCAGCTTTGCAGGGGGGTGTGTCACAGGCTGGTAACAGTGGTTAGGGATTAAATATGGCATCAAATACTTCTTGCTGTTGTCTATCTCCCCTCCAGCACTACTTAAATTGAAGCCAGTTGATGGTTACTGTGCAGTGGAAACAAAGTATGTGAAAACAGCGTGTCTCCCTGACTTCCTCTTTCCTGCTGGGACTGACTGCTTCATTTCTGGATGGGGCGAGACAGAGACAGGTATTTGTGGGCTACCTGGATTTTGGTGGGCACTTTGGTGGTACTTTTAGTAGCAATTGCCAGAACCAAGCATGAACTTTGGCCCTAGTGAAACCATGACATGGAATTCAAAAGCTAAAACATGCCACAGAAATTACTCGTTAGCAGAAATCTGTAACTGCTAAAGCAACAAACCTTTCACAATTCTGAAAAAATTCCTGATGCATCTTTTTGCTTGCCAAATGACTCACTATGTCATGGTTTCATCTGAAGCCAGCAACAAAAGCAAGAAGGTATCAAGAGAAGCTATTGTATAGCTTGTGTGTTTCAAGATTGGACCAAGAAAGACAAGAACTTTCACATGGTTTTCAAGCCCATTGTGTCAGATAAAGCTTTTCAGAAGCAGCATCTGGATCTTTAGATGCACTGAAAAATAAAAAATAAAAAAATTTAAAGAAAGTTTAAAAAAAAAAAATCCAAAGCCTTTCAAGTTCAACCAGCTCTATCCAAAACCTTTCTTGCCTGCAGTAAATCCTCAGGGGAGAAATTACTGTTTTTAAAACAAAAGATAATGGCAATTTTCTAAAAAATGCATTTTCTCATGTTCTGATTGATGTGCTGCTGTAAAGCAGCAGAAGGAAAATGTGTCACTGAGGCTGCAGTAGGTGTCCTAGTGCTTCGTGACTGATGCAGTCTGATATGATACATAGGACCAAATTCTCCCTTCTGATGTAACTCTCATTGAAGTCCACAAGAGACAAGTGTGTTCATTTGATCAGAATGCACCAAAAGAATTTAATGGACATTTTTTTAAAAGTTCCAAATAAAAAATCCCTCTTAAAAATGGTAGGGGGAAATTTATTTTTTTTCCCCCAACAAAAAGTATCAAGTACCCTGTACGTGTTCAGACTAGATGGCTCCTTCTTTGAGCAGAGCTATTATTAGCATTTCAGGAAATCACCACAGAAATGGAATATTTCCTCAAGCAGAACCAAACTTATAAACCACCTTTAATTATCTGCAGATGTAGTGCTTTGAAACTCTGGCTACTGCCTTTAGATGTCAACTTATGTCTTTAGATTCACTGTAATTAATCATTGCCCTTAAATATTGTATGATTTTCAGTTTTCATCTGTTTCATTAGCTTGCATGTTAAAACATCTAATAACACCAGTCTGAGAAGTGCTGAGCAGCTCAAAGTCCCCTGGGGACCTGTGGGAGCTGCAGACAACCAGTGCCTTGGAAAAGCAGGATTGCACAGATAGAGCTGATTGGAGCTAAGTTCTGAATTTATGACTTTGCTTTTATTCAGGCAACAACTTGGTGTCCTGAGGGAAGCTTCCAGACCCCAACTTTAAACCTTATAATTTCTGATAGATAGTTCTTTTCTTCCCAGGCTAGCACGTGCATCCCTCCTGCTCTTCCCCATCCCATCTATATGGCAAGCAGCCTCGTATTTTGAATAAAGACAACACATAACAGTATTGGGAGGAAAGTGACTCCACTTTTTTGGTCGCATCCCACAGGTGAAGCATCTGATCAGCTGTTAGATGCCAAGGTCAAGCTGATTTCACAGAGGAAATGCAATGAACCTGAACTACATAATAACTTACTGGATGAAAGCATGTTTTGTGCAGGGAAACTTCGAAAACCCAGAACTGATTCTTGTCAGGTTTGTAGCCTTTTCTGTATTTGAACACTAATTTTTTGTGTAAAGAGTCAGGCTGTGCAGAGTAATAGCTTTGGCAGGCTGCTGCATATGTGTCTGTTTCTCGCATCAGTGTACATCAAGAGCCTTTCTTCAGTATGCTTTGAGATGCACATCCTCAGAGCTGATATTGTCACTGTCACCTACAGGCAGATCTATGCAAGCTAGATACCAGCCTGGAAAGTTTGGCTTCTGAGACAGTTCGTCATAATAACCTGAAAACTTACCTGTTTTTCCTCAAGTTTATTATGGGTTCTGCCATAAGCACCAATTCTAATCTGATTTTCACTATCAGAGCTAAGACTTGCAGGGCAGCAGTACTGATGTTTCTTCTCATTACAGCTGGTGCAAATGGGAAACAAGTTCATACTTATACCATTGAAAGGCAGGGAAGAGTTTGAACAACACTCGCTAAGGTGCAAACTACCACTGTAAAGCATACATTGCAATAGAAATCACAAATAAACCAAAAATTAGACCAACCAACCAACTCAGAATAAATCTATCTGAGGGGTGTGAGACAGATTAAGGTTTCATTTGTGCCAGGGATCACATCTTTATCTTTCTGAGTTCAGGCTCTGAATTCCTGGTACTTTCATGCCTAGGAAATTTCATGTGACCTTGTCAGATGTACGTCACAGACTGGAACCAACAAAAAATTACATCCAAAAAGTCTGGTATCATCTGACCTAATTCCAGAACTGCAGGTCTACTCAGGGACTAAGCAGCATCTTATATAGCATAAATGCAATAGGAAAACAACATCATTGCATCTTCAAAGTTTTATGATGAGAGAGAAGCATTCTGATATCGCTTCATGTTTTGAACATGTGCTTTCCTTCATCAGGGAGACTCCGGAGGCCCACTGACTTGTGTGCAAAACAGCTCCTACTATGTGTATGGCCTTGTGAGCTGGGGTGATGGCTGTGGGTTAAAAAACAAGCCAGGAGTTTATACCCAGGTGACAACATTTCTCAGCTGGATTAAATCTGCAATTCAGGCTGAGTCAAGGTTACGTCATTAGGAGAGAACGACAAATGGTAAGCTTGAGGTATTTACTATTTTCATCAATTCCCCAAATACCTCCTCTTTGACCAAAGATATTTCTGATATTTTCTCATGGCCTACACAAGGCATCCTTCTCCACCATTTTAAAAATAACTTTAGACTGTTTGCTGGAACGCCAGAGACAGTTTTTCTGTTGTGGGCTTTGAAATAAGCCCACATTTTGTAACAAAAGCAGTCAGGAAGTAAAGCTACTCCAGTTCTTCCTCCAATAAATCAGAGCCCCTAATATTAATCTTTCTAGTTCTGCTTTTCAAGCCATGAAAATTCTACGGGCTCAGCTGCTGCCAGCCACTCCCTCTTCCCCTTATGCTACTGTTTAAGGTGTGTTTTTTCTGCACTCATTGGACCCTTACACCTCAAAGCTATTGGGGTGTGCTCTTAAAGTCAGTGCCATTTTTCACATACATAAAACCCATCATGTTTCTGAATGCAGCCATTGGACTTATCTGAGGAGGGAGGATCAGAGAGAATTATTTTTAAAAGTACTTTGGTAGGGCAAATAACCACAAATTCCATCAGTGATGCCTTCCAGATTAAAAAAAAAAACAAACCACCAACAAACTTTCAATATAAGAATTATCCACTTTATTCCAGATTAAAGGCTAATTACTTACCAGGCTTCAGATCTACAATGGTATATATGTGCTTAACAAGCTCGATGAGACCTTGTGAGCACTAAATGACGTTAAAAAAATCTGGGTCAAAAGCTGTTGGATAATATCGAGGTTTTCATAAGTTTTACATGTCAAAATTTTTGCCCAAGATTCTGCATAGACATTTGAAAAACAAGGGGTTGATATTAAATCAGTATATAAAGAATAAATATATTTGTGAAGAACCAATTCTTTAAAACAGTAATATTTGAATTCCAACATTTACAACCTTCTCTAAGCAGCTACACAATCTATCAATAGCTACCCGTATTGTGACGATTTCTAAAATAGTAATTTTGATTTCTTTTTCCTTTGGAAGGTTTGAAAAAGACTGAAGAACTAATTGTGATCTGAATACATCCTGCTAGTCTAGAGCAAATTCCCTGATGTCTCCTAGAAGACCTGACCTTGGCTAGTCAGTGAGAACTTTGCTCCCATTGGACTTTGTCTTATTCACTTGTTAAGCCACCTGAATCACACTTTTGTATTCTCTTAGGTCGATGGTGCCAATAATCCAGGAACATAAAATTCTCCAAAAATTATAAGTATGGAATAAGATTCACCCAATTTATTCATTACAAATTATTTCATATTCTACCATCCATGGTACAAAGCTGAGCCTGCCAGTCACCTAGTACTAATTTCATTTACAGCTTCAAATAAATAGCAGAATCTGTAATACATACAGTGATAAATCATAAAGTATCCACACAAAATAAAATTATCACTTATAAATAGCAGTGTTTTGGTTGCTTTTCAAAACAAGAAATTCTTAAATGCCATCAACTGGAGAACATACAGGATTTTCAGGACAAGATGAAAATCTATTTGTGTTATGTCATGTTTCCATTTACTTCTGATACAGCTGCATTTGCCTTCTCTTGACTTGCAGAATTTCTGAAGCATCAGGGTTGACTGTGACTTGCTGAGATCCTTCTGTCTCCAACTGGTCCTATAAAATCATATCCAAATAGATTGTGAAATCAGCCGGTGGACAGAAGAGGTTTTTAACTATTATTCTATTAAAATATTTGCATATTAAAAATTACCACAACCAGCAAATGAACAAAATCTAAATCACTGCTCTGCACTGAGCGAATTTCTACAGTGAAGTGCAAAAAGTGGACCTGTTCATGTAAGTTAGATACCACACATACCAAAGGACTAAATATGCTCCTAATTTCTAATTTGATCCTAAATAAAAAGCAAACCAGAAGACACCTGAGTTCCACATGGATTGCACCCTGTAGGTTTCCCTGAGACCATCACATCATTATCATACCCAGAACTTAAAAAGAAACTGCCTGTAGTTCCCTCTGCTTGCATAACTCAACCATAATTTTCATTTATTTCCTGAGTAACTTTTCAGATGGGAATGCAAATCATGGATATCCACTGTTTCTCTCGAGCTCGATTATTGTTTGACTTGTTTCCAAAGGTAAAAATTAAATGAAACACGTATTTGGAATGCAGTGCTTCTCTTTCATTGAAACTTAATGCTTCCTAACTCCAAGGGCTGCAAGGTCCCCCTGTATGGACTTCTGCTCTCTTGTGCTGGGACACTGCAGACTGGGAGTCCTCCCTATGGAGGTGGGGAGAAGGAAGCCTGGAAGATCCCAGTCTGTAATTTCTTCAGTCTTGAGCTGGACAGAGGTGGAGGAGGGGAGCATTCCCTCTTTGCAAAAAGCCTCTCGTAGCACATGTTATGCTGTTGGGAATCTACACTCAGCCTGTCAAGATGGTTGCCAGTGGAGATTATATGGCATCACATAATTATATAGTAACACATGGTGTCCTGCTGAAATTAGGAAAAGAGAAGGGGAGTTTCACAGGGAGCTCCTTCTACCTCTATTTCTGCTTTCCACAGAGGTACCAGGACACTCGGAGATCTGACAACATCCACAAGTTAAGGGAAACACATCCCATCACATAAGTAAATCCCATTCCTTGGCACTTCCTAGTCCCTACAGGAATTTCTCAGCCATGACACTGCTGAATTCCCTTGAGAGCTTCCTTCAGACTAAGATGTACACTAAGCCACAGAGCATCATGAGGGAAGTGTACATATCCTGTTCAAATATCAGGGAGAACTGCAGACTCCAGGGAGCACTCAAAAGTATGAAACAGGATGTGCACTGGCAAAGAGCAGAGCTCTTGGAATTTGTAGGGTTTACTCACAGCTCCAGGTCTGTACTGAGCAGCAGCACCCTGCAATCCCATCTCCCGAAGGTAGGCCAGCTCAGCAGCTCTTCTTGCCATTTCGACCTTGTGAGAACCTGGGGGAGTCCAGCCAATGCCTCTGAGCCAGTTCAAGTCAGACTTGTATTTTACCTGAGAGAATGAAACATACCCCAGTGTGTATTTGTTTTGTTGGGCTCTAACCAAATCACACACCCTGGGTACTCAAGAGAGAGCATATCAAGAACAACAGAGATGGTAATAAACAAATTATTCATATTTAGCAAGTAGACTCTAATTCTTTAAAGAACTTGATGTTGTTGATAGGTAAGGTCTTGCAAAGCACATTGCCCCATAGCACCTGGAAGGACCGTGTAACTGGCTGTACTTACATCACTCTGCAGCTGGTAGGCCTGCTTTGCATGTTTCACATTTAGCTGCTCGGGATCAAGAGTGTAGTGGTGCAAAGGCTGCCTGTAGTTAACATTGCTTGCAAGCTGCTGGCTTCTCTTGGCATGGAGGAATCCTGGCTGGTTGAGGTGACTCTGGAACTGTCCCCTGTTTTGGGCATAATCACTCCTGTACTGGATGTCACTCTGGAGCTTCCCCACTCTGAGGACATGTCTGATTTTGGGATCATCATTTGCACTGAGGAATCCAATCTGCTGGCCTCTGTCTCTCAGGAAGGCTTCTCTGTATTTGTACTGCAGGAAGTGCAGAGGAAAATCTTGTTTTCACATTTGGATTACCTTCAAATTCCGTTACCATCCCCTAGCTATCAAGTCATGCTTCCTGCAGTGCACAAAGACCAGGGGTTTCGTATCAAACTACATCTCCTAATCTAACAAGATGCTTTAGAAGAATGACCTTTGTGCTCATTTTTAAAAGAGTGGAAAGACTTGGTGGGGGCAAAATGCTCATGTCTTGAAAGCAATCAGAGATGCCCTTATGGTTGGACTCTTGGGCACACCCAACACATAGCTCAAGCAATGAAGCTCCTCCATCTTTAGCTTTCTTGCCTACTGTGATCTTCTGTGTTCAAAGATGGCCCACTTTATTCTAGGCCATGTTTTAACTCTTCATAGCCTAGTACCTATTTTACTTGACTACATCATAATATGGCTCCTTCCCAAGAAAAGGTTTTGGGAGATAAAACAAGGCAGTCTGGTATTGGACATTATTAATGGTAGCCTTTAGCTGGAAATCTTTACACTTAACCAGCACCTGGTTTCACTGGATCACCAATTTTCCAAAGCAGAGCAAAGTTCACTTATGTCAGAATTCACCCATTTTTACAGGATGGGATGGCATAGGAAGAAGGTTGGGAAGTGTTTGAAGCAGAACAATTCTTACATCACTGGCAATCTCTCTTGAAGCCTTTGCTGTCTGGAATGGGATGGCGTCGATTCTAAAATCATAGCCAGATGCCCTCGTCTGTTCCCAAGATGTTTTATACAATTTCTGTGTTGAAAAGAAAAGAACAAAACAGTCATTTCCCCCTGCAGTTTCTTAAACGCAGTCCCATAACTGCAATAATAAATGTTTTATCCTACTGGGCTTATTTGTATCAAGAGTCATCAGTGCCATCTCCAAGGTTTTGATCCAGTTCTATAGTACTTCAACTTCTTTTCTATTCACCATAATGATAAAATGCCTCATCTGAAAAGTGCCACCAGGGTTTCCTTTTGTACTTGAATGTGGTTGGTTTTGATGTGATTTAATTTCTATTAGAAACTCTGATGCATCAGTCACATCAATATTGCATTGATATTGCCCTTATTCTCTCTTTTGATGCATCCACTCACAGTGTCTTGGGTTTCCTGGCATCATAATTTCAATACCAGTTATTTCAAGCTTTTCAAATGATCCCTGTCTCTATCCCCAGCCACATGTGGCTTCATTAACTCATACAGAATAACAGCCAGTTCTAACATATTTAGTGTGACTTTGAGGATGTGTAGCACATTTACATCCTGAAGAGAAATTGCTCTAGATTTGGTTCCTCTTCCATTAGCAGCTTTCTTAAAATAGCTTCAGGTCTGCAGGTCCTGCTACGCGGTCATGGTATCTCAGCAGACATTTTTGTCTGTCCCTTTGTGATTTTATTCATTTGCTCCTTGCAAGTCTGTGATATATCCTTTCTGGGTTTTATGACCATGTGAAAACAAGCGCAAAATCCAGTCCACATTTAAAAAGATAACCTTCTGTTTCACTGGTGAAGGTAATGCTAGGTGGTGTTAAATTTGAAGATACATTGAGATGCTAGAAATCCTGCAAGACAGCCTGGATAGACGCAACGCAAGCATCACTGTACACCCGGCTAACAGCCTGACCTTTCATTTGTGCACACTCTTTGAACACAATATTTGCCTTTTTTCCCTCTCCTCTATCACTTCAAAAAATGTGAATCCTACTTGTTTCTTTCACCTACATAGCATCTATCACCAAATAAACTTCTTATAAACTAAGGTCATTCTGACTCTACAGGTAAAGACAACAGCTCTTTAGCTGGGGAACATCAGGAATAGACTGAGTTTCTCTGTATGGGATAATTTGGAAACGAATTCTCTTTACAATTCTCTTTACAATTTCCACAATTTACAATTCCACTCACCGATTCAGTTACATCCATATTGATGACAACTATGACTATGTTCAACACAGTGATGCAGCTTCAGAAAGGTTGGAAAGAGGATTCTCCCTCCTTCCTCACCCAAACATAAGCAAAAATATTTTAATTTGTAATTAACCATAACTATACTGAAGGTCTGAAATCCCTAATAATAGCTTACTGCCCTGGAAAGTTAAATGAATTCTCAAAAGAAAAATGAACAGACTTTTTCTGATTCCTCCAGACCAAAACTACACACATGTTGGCTGTTCACGGCCCCTGGCTTTCTTTAGTTTTAGTCAGGCTCAGAGAATCTGCCTTCTACACACATGAAGGTTTTTATTCTGGAGCAAGTTTACCAAGTCACCTCCTCAAAGGAAAAGGTTTACTTACGTCACTGATTTGAAGTGCATTCTGTCTGGCTCGGATAAAATCTGGATGATCAGGAGGCAGAGTGTACCTGTGCCTGGCTTCAGAGCCTTCAGCCTTGTACAGTCTCTGTGGAGCCAAAATCATTGAATGAAACTGATACTGGAAGCAATGTCAAGATCACTTCTTTTATGCATGATAGTACAACAAAAATTAAGATTACTTTTACATTAAAATGACACCTACGTCATTGCACTGGAGGTAGCTGGTTTTGGCATGAATCAGATTTGGAGAGTCAACCACGGCGGTGAACTTCAAACTTTCTGGCTTCTGACGGTACTTTATCTGAGAGGTGGAGGAGGCAACAAACACAAACAAAGGAAAAAAGCATGAGATGTTTCTGTTAATGGTGTATGACAATTCTGAGTGTGTGATAAATGGAGTAAAACATAAAAGACACTTTCTTGAAGCCACTGTTCTGCTTTAGTCTCAGTTGCTCTTTCAGCTAGGGACTGAGGATGCCTCTGTATCGCTGCTGCGGTGCCCAGGCACCACACACTTCTTTTTGTGTGTATGTGCAAGAAGGACTTCCCACTGAAAATTCCCATGCGAAAAGCTTTTGAACACTACACTTTTGACAGCTCATAATTTTTCTCCATTAATACATGATATACTGAGCAGGCAAGTGCCCCTTCAGTGTGATTGTCAGGGCTGTAACTTTCTATATAACTTCCATAACCACCTGCTTAGAATTTCATAATGGAGTTTACTGCATTTATTTATTGCTACATGTTTTGCCTATACTCCTGTGTTTCATTTGGAATGGAAAATATTCAGCAGGTGTCACACAGTGGACTTGCGTCTCCCGTACTGCTTCTTGGTAACTTACACCTTGTATAAACAGGCTCCCACATCAAAAGGAAATGATAAGCTACATTCGTAAGTGTCATGTAACGAGGAGCCTTGATGGTAAACAATTCCTACAGACTTGCTATCCCATGAAAGATTTATCAGTTACCTCGCTGATGAGCTCTCCAGCCTTCTTTACACTTTCTATCTGCGGAGATCTCAGAGCCATCCAACCAACTCCTTTCATGAAGTTCAGGTCTGATTTATAGCGAAGCTGTTAAAAATGAAAATCGTTAACTATCAGTTTTGTATCCACAGCTATTAAGATTTTTAAAAAACTCCCTGATTCATATTCACATTTTGAGGTTTTTTCATTTGCCATGCACATATCAGATCGTAAAGCCAAACTGTTTGCATTTGTTCATTCCACCAGGAATTAAATAATGTATCATATGCAAGTTACAA